GTAGCTTTGCCCCCAGTGAGAGGATCGCCATCGTAGTGTAACATATAGGGCAGCACAGAAGGCCAGCCCATGTCATCTTTGCCGACGCTTGCTCCAACTTCCGAGAAATGGCCACGGCGCAATGTTGTGGCCCTCTCTGCCAGCGTGGTCCCACAGTTCAGGCAAGCGTAGACCTGCGAGGTCTTTATATCTGCATATGCCAGCTTCTGCTCCTCAGTAATCATGAGTTCTTGCGGCGGTGCAGACTCTGTGTGTGCTCCTTTTGTCGGTACCGAAACCTCACCGTGTCCACCAGCTCTCAACAGGGTCGGCAACGATCCCTGCTCACCGGCGGCCATGTCTGCAGCGCTACTGCCGCAGGAAATGCTGTGCAAACGGAGCGTAACAAAAGCTTGCACTGCACACTACAAGCCCGTATGTTCCGGGGACCTCAAAAGGCAGGAGCCAAACGACGTCAAGATGCGAATGCTCGTTCTGACACATCAAACTTTTGCTGGCGGAGTAGTTTGTTCGTGGAAGGCAACTAGCAACTGCTTGTAAATGCCAGATGGTGCAGTGCAGTCATGCAGCGTGGAATCCGGTGGAAGTCAAGTCGAAAGACGTTCAAGAGACCAGTTTGGGGTAGATCGATGTCACTGAATGCTCGCACCGCAAACTACATGACTTGTTGCCATAGACCAGACATACACCAATACAAGCATGATTATGATTACTCTCCTTCCGCAACTATTATACCTGCTATGATGACATTGTGTATTTCGTTCTCATCTTCGGTGTGGGGTTGTTAGATTGTACGTCAAATAAATTTCAACCATGCTCCTCGCCTCCTCATCCTCCTCGCCCGGTGTCCCGCCCGGTCTCCTGCGCCTGGTCCATCCCTGGAGTGCCCGCTGCCAGAGAAGCCTGTAGAGAATCCCGCCGAGTATCCCTGTTTTGCCCAGGCCCATTCCCAGAAACCTGCAGAGAATCCCGCGGAGTATCCATGGAGTGCCCAGAGAAGTATCGGTGTGCCCACCCCCAGAAAAGCCCAAGCCAGCCCATGATTTTCAGAGAAACCTGCGGGAATCCCTGGAGTGCCCTCCCTCCCTCAGAGAAGCCCGCAGCCAATCACAGTCGTTTATCCCTGGCCAGCTCCCGAGAAGCTTGCTCCGAGTATCCTTGGAGTACCCGCATCCGGAGAAGCCTCAAGAGTCCCGCCGAGTAGCCCTGGAGTGCCAACCTCACAGAAAATTCCGCGGAGAGTGAAGTATCCGCAGCTACCTGTCCGCAGCCTACAGGATGGCTCCCACATCAGGTAGCTGCAGGGTGGGGATGATCGAGGAAAACCATAATTGTTGTCTACAAACGGTTTTTGTTTTTCATTACATTAGTATTGAGAGATTACATTCGTTATTCGTATACCAGTTTAGGACGTAGGAGAAAAAATGGTTAGTCAGTTCGCCCTCCCCACAGCACAGCCTCAACGACAGCCAGCATCTCGCAGGACTCCTGAAGAAAGGCACTGCTCAGATTTGCGTTGATTTCCAGGCACGATGGCTGCAGTGTCTCCAGCTTGGACCAGAGTCTTGGTGGCGAGGGCGTCCTCGCACAAACTGGCGTTGCCGAACTCTCGCAAAGACGAAAGCAAAGACTCACAATTTTTGCGACTTTGTGGCATGACGATCGCGTCGGCCTCAAAATCTGCGATGGTGTCTTGCAGCGTGGGGTTACAGGCGACTCCTCCAAAGCGAAAACTGCTATAATCATCAGCGCACCCACCGGTAGGAGTGTAGCGTAGCGTGGCATACCCTGTTCAGTGCCTGATTAGCCCTTTTGCTGCAGAACTACTCGAATTTCAAACGCATTGAACAGCCGAGTCCTCGCCCGCAACCTCCCGCGTGCAGCGAGTGTTGCACGGCTGCGGCCGTCGCTGCGGACACCGGTACACAGACAAGGAAACCTTGCATCTCCGTACGCATTCATCGTCATGTTTCAAGCTTGTACGATTTCTTCGTGGAAGCTTTCCACACCAGTGCCAGCAGCCCATTCGCATATCAAGTTTCCCACTCAAAGCCGAGGCCTCGATGTAGCGGCTGCCCAAATACCTCATGTTCAGCTCCTCGATGGCATCAACCGCCGCCTGGCCAGGTGTTTCTGTACGGTGCGCGCGACTGTGCTTCCACACTGCTCGTGTCGACTCAAATGGCTTGCATACCTATGTCCAGAATATCTGAACAGAACACAACACAAAACACGCTTGGCTGGGTAGCCGAAACTCGACATGCCATGATCTTGCATGGAGAATGGCCCATGGACAGCACCGAAAATGGAAGTGAGCACAACAAGGATATGACATTACATTCAGGTGCGTCACTCTACGATTCGACCACATGTCCCAGCCGCAAAGCGCAACGCGAACAACGATATCTGGATGTACACAGCTGCCAAGAGCACGCTCCCAACTCACATCAAGGAGTGCTATGGATGAAGCTGAATTGTCCCCTTGTGCCTGGTGGCTACGAAATTGGACCTTTGCAGAGCCAGATGGACGGCCGTCTTTCTTGACCTCAGTTCAAGTGGCGATGCGTGACATGCTGGGTCACGCTTCCGCAAAATTACGGCTAAGGGCGACAAGTGAGCTGTTATTGTCAGGCAATCTCCATGCGTGTGCTGGCCTTTCTTTCTAGCCTAGCTTCGCAGGCTAGTTTCGCACCGGTCAGGCATGGCTCGCAAATGCAGGCGGCTGCTCTGCAGCCAAACTTGCGCTCGGCTTCTGACGCCGAGGACAATGCCAAACTCCTTGGAATGTTGAAACGTCAAGATGCTTTGCCTGGATGATACGGGAACGATCCGATGTACACACTGGGGTCACGGCTGCCAGGTTCGTCGCGTGCTCCTTGAGAAACTGCCTGACTTCCTGAAAAACATCAACCATCTCAGACAGGATAGCAGCATAATTCACCTGCTTGAAACATCTTGAAAGACTTTGCAACCTTGCCTTCACAGTCGCTGTGAAAGGCAGGCCTTGGAGCTCGACCTTGCAAGGAGGCTCATAGCTAAAAGTCTGTAAGTAAAAGAGTCGCTGCCTTCAGAGTGCTGCTGCAAGTTCTTCACAAACAACCATCACCAGGGCAGTCGGGCAAAGATGGATCAAAAGAAGCTCAAAAACACATGGGCGCGGCTCGATGTTGCTGATGTGAAGCCGAGCAGCTGTGCATTCTTCGCTGGCTTCAGATGGGGCATCCTGGAAGCAACAACCAGGCTAGCCCCGTCACCATGAGGAAACGGTAGTGCTGCGACTAGAATGTGCTCCAGCATATTTGCTCGTTACTTGCACCTCTGACAAACAAAGCAAAGTCCCCCCCAGAACTAGAGAACAAATCGGGGCCATTTGTGCGATCCCCCCCCCCCCCCCCCCCCCCGCCCCCCCACCCCCCACCCCGCCCCTCCCAACGAACTTCAAAGAACATGATTTTGAAGTCCCCTTAGATACTGACATTAGGCTGTAGGGGTTGGCAGTTTGGGCCCTACCGGTCTGCATGCAATATTTCTTCTGGCTGCACTGCCATCTTTGCAATGCTGCTGTTGGCTGCCTCTGAGCTAAAGGTGCATTTGTACGAAGTTGTGGTGCAGAACTGTAGAGGCTCCATCCAGACTTTGAGGGGGTAGGTGCTCTGGAGACTGGGATCTGCAGGCCAAGAGAACTAACTACCTGAGTCCTGGTTTCAAAGGCTCAGGCTGCATCAAGATTCTTTTTACATTGCTTGCAGACCGGTAGCCAAATCATTTGTTCCTGATGTACTGCTTGGGATGCCACATCCAGAACATTTACCACTGGTCGCTGGTCAAAGAAACCATGAAACATGAAAAAACTCAAGCTCCCCGCGAAGCCTCCAGGACAACATTTGCTTCTTGTACACTGTGGATTTCTTAGAGATGGTTTGCTCCTGACCATGCCCTTGAAAGGGCCTGCCCCGCCCTCTAGTGCCTGCTTGCAAGCTCTCTGCTTGAAGGTCCATGTGGCTGAAGTCGACTTGGGTTACATTCCGGGAAAACAGCGGCCATCTCACACAAGCGCATGCTGCTGCACGCGAGCACATCAAGCAGTCCTGATCTGTGGTGTCACTGCTTCCGCTCTCGCTTCCAGGAACTGGAACTGGAGGCCAAGGTTCCACGGGCACCACGTAAACAGGCAAAGCAGAGTAACCGGAGTAGCCTCCAAGACGGCACAAGCAAAATCTTCTGCGGCGAATGAACCCGACTTTGAACGCATGCCAGACCGCTCCATTCGCTTGAGCTGCCATGATGACACGTTCTGAATTATGGCGCACAGCACGCAGGCCTGGCAACCAAAATTGAGGCTCGGCGTTCCCATGCATGCAACACCTCTGCTCGGGATGGTCAGGCATAAAGGCCACACTCAAGGCTATCTCAGGATGGCTATCTCAGGACGTCGCACGCCCGGTGCCACTTGCATCCATTGTGTCCAGGTGGGGGGTCCAACAGCTTGCATCCTGTTTGAGGTTTGTGCTCGGCCGGGCTTTTGCAACAGCTCAGCCTCAGCTCCAGACGGCGCGAAGTATGCGACAGCCTCGCTGCAGGGTTCTACACATACGGTACAGAACGGTTCTCATGCTGCACATGCTACAAATTGACGACACTGTCAAGCATTGATGTCTCGATTCGTCCATGACCACAAGGAACATCACGCTTTCCGTGCCTCGAACGCAGGCTGAGCCGGCTCTGAATTCATGCTGGAATCAAAAGAGGCTGGAGACCGCACTGCGGGCACCCATGAAACTACTCTTGTCTCTGTTGCTGCTTTTTCTGTCAAGCATGTCTGCTCCGTGCTGAACTTTGCTAGCTGCAACTGGAAAGCGGGAGCTGCCATGAGCACATCTTGCTAAGCTCGAGCCGCTGCCGAGAAGGCCATGGCATTGCCCGATTGCAGAAGCACGACATTTAGAGCAGAGATCGAACAGCAGAATCACCGCATTGCGTAGAGCATCAAGACGAGCCACCTTGAAGATCAGCAGCCCGTGCTCAAGTGCCGCTAGAGACAGTGCGGTCCACCTGGCGGCCAGCGCTGATGCGATCCGGCAAGAAATCCACGCTACATCGTAATTACTTGGTGCCACTGCACTTGACATACTTTGCTGTGTAAAGGAACCCAGAGTGCCTGCTCCCAGACACGGCCAACACCGCCACGTTGCACATGACCGACATAACCGAGAGGGCCTCTCGCAGTGTAACTGTGTGGCAGGGTCTGCTTCGAAGCTTCTGTGGGACCTGTCTGGGCAAGATACCAATTCTAAGGTTGACTTCTTCAGCGGAGGTGGGGAGTGAGAATGTTTGAGGTCTGAAAGCCCCTACCAAGAAGGAACTCATCATGTCAGAGCAGAACTGAAAACAGCTGAAGAACTCGTGACGTCCTCCAAGACTTCCACCCAGGTATCGGAGATGACCTGGCAAAATGCTGCACCGCCCCAGCTAAACCTCCTGCCGGTGGAGGACAGAGATGATGGTTGCTAGCTTACGCAAGTGCTGGTGTTTCCATAAAGCTGGATGCCACGCTTCGCCCAGCCGCAGTGACTATCATGGTCATGACTGCATGTTGACGTGTAAACACATGTAAGAAGAGTAGTCTGCTCAGGCTCACCCCGTCAGCTGCGCTAGGCGCTGAGAGCATGTTGACCTGGCATCAGAGCGTCCCAATTCAAACAGGAAGCAGCATGCTTCAAGCAGAGGGGGCTGTGGACATGCAGCAGCTTCTGTGCAAAACGCAGGTGGCGTTTGATGTCTGCTCCCATGTGACCCTTGTCAGTGGGCAGGCTGCAAGGGAGTGACACTGCGCGCACCATAAGGAACTTGTACCCATCTGTACGCCTGCCAAAACAGCACATCGGACGGACTTGGTTGAGGAAGAGGTGGATGGTTCTAAGGGGCAGGATCTGACACATGACAAAGCTACATGCAGCAGGCACAGACAAAGTGTAGCTGACCCAAGCTGTAGCGGGCACACAACTGAGCGTGAAATGCACATGGCCTTGAAACGTAGCTGTGCAGTAAAGCGAGCAGTGGGCCGCAAGGAAAGGCGATCTGCGCAGGCTTCAAAGCAGTTCAAAGATCTGCTGAAAGTCCAGAGTCAGAAGCTTTCTGATAAGTCTACATGCTTTGCAGATATTCGACGGTTGAGTCGATTGTTGAGCGGTCAGTCAACCCGCTCAATGGGCATTCCAAGGATCGGGCAGCAAATGAGCTTGTGAGTGCAAAGAGAACAACTAGCTGCTGGTACTCCGTACAGAGGTCGGTCTTGTCCTGAGCAGAACTGGAACGAGCTGATCCAATGCAGCCGCATCTCGAAACTCTATAGTTCATCACTCTCTGATCTGATCACAGACAGCAAGTCTTTCCTCTGGCACGAACTGAACCCTGAGATACCAAGGACCGGGCTAGGGTCAGCTGCCGGCCAACGTCCCGCTCCAACGAAGTGCCCTCAGGACCAGCAGGTTATCTGAAAATGTACGAGAGAAGGCGCTTGGCCACGCTTAAGTGGAGACAACAGAAAGTGAAACAGAGAGTTAGGTGGTGTCGCAGCCCCATCTTTGGGTTTCGCGCGTCACCCAGCACTGCACAGCTTCCAAGTCTTCGTAGTGAGGCACACCTGAGGGCGACTCCCAAAGAGCGGAGACACACCCACACACACACACACACAAACACCTCCTCACCCTAACTCGACTCGAACTCCGACTCTTCTTTGGTCAGAATTGGAGAGGGAGCACCTCCTTCCAGTCTTGGGTGTGGCCGCAGGCGCCTGCAGGCTTGCATCTCAAGCAAAGGATGCCAGGGTTGGTACACTCGGAGTCTAAGACCAAAAGCAACGCAGATCGGAGAACCAGACAGATCAACAAACAACTTGGGGTTCCACGTCCTGTTCCTTGCTGGAAGCTCGGGTAGTTTTCCCCTGCCAGAGCTCACTTGCGCTGCAACAAGAACTTCCTGCTACGATTCTGCACTCAAACCCATGTGCATGTCAACTGGTCATCACTGGTCTATATGGTCTATCGGCTGCACTGCCCAAAGACACAAGGGAGAGATGCCCGTCTGCGCCACTTGGAACTCGAAAGGCTGCAAGGCACATCAATAGCCTGCCATCTTCGGAATCGCTGCAAGAGGACCTTAGCCACTGAAACCTTACAATCTTGAGCCCTGAGCTGAAACTGCAAAAGCTCAGCTGCTGGCGGGCAGCAGCACCTCTTGTGCGACTGCAACCGCCTCAACCAAATCACAGCTGAAGGCGTGTCGCACAACAGACACCGCTTCTTCCTGTGAAGGCTACGTCCTACAGTACTCGATGCTGTCTTTGTTGCACTGCAGTCAGCACGGCAGAATTCCAATAGCTAGACTGCTACGTCCTGACATACATGTGTCTCAACTACCATGGTACAGTAGAGCGGAAGAATCAAACTGTTAAAGCCTGCACAACGCAAACTTCATGCCAACATCTTGTGATTGCATGAAGCCCCGGGAAACATACCCGCAAGGGACCTTTCTTGGAACCTCTTTCACAAAGCCACGCCTGCTTCACCGTCATGAAGATGAAAAGCTGGGATCTGCGCAGCTTATTGCCAAGAACAAATTCTCAACGAACAGTCGTTGTTCAAGAATATATACCCGGCCTGAGGTACTCTAAGTCTTGAATACAGAAGGCAACGTACAGGAACCAGCCTTTCAGCTCCAAAGAGGGGCACAATCTTGGTATTCGGTTCTGTGCTTCTGGACTTGCAGCTGAAGCTTCGCAGACCACCTCAGGCTCTCGCCCAAGTAGTTGACCAGCTGGAAGAAGAGTGTCTGTCAGGGGCTAGGAGGTTTAGGGTTTAGGGTCTATGGCCATTCTCTGACACTATGAGAAGGACTGCTGATATCGACCCAGCACTGCGCCTTCGACATGAGGGACTTCAAATGCTCAGCATACGAGACCTCAGCCAGTACTTGGGTGAGAAATCACGACCTTTGCAAGACAACGGAGTATTTTCTGGCATCCTGGCATGGTGCTCCATCTGCACAAGGGATGACACCCCCTTCTGATAGAGCCTGAAAAAGCAAACTCACGACGTTCCGAGCTCCTTGTTGCATCAACGGCAGGGCGCAGAAAGGGTCTTTGCCAAAGCCAGCCTCTCCATCAGGCTCACCACGATCAGGTAGATGACAACCTCTCGTCAAACACCCGGACCGAAAAAAGATCACGTCTCACTGCTAGCAACTCCAGCATTATAGCAGCCTTAGGGCCTCAGGGCTTTCGTTCGTCCTCATGCTGTGTATGCATGTATCCTGGAGGTGCATCGCAGCAACAAATGCAGCTTCGCACTATGATTGGGGAAACCTTAGAGGCCTTGGTTCAAGGTGATCTCAATCTCAACTGTCAGAAGACCTTGCCCCCATCCCAGATAGATAAGCATCCCCACCCAAACTTTAAGCAACAAAATGGCCTTTCTGCATGCCTGTCTGAGGCTGTGGCAGGCGCATTCTGAATGATGAGGTTATCCGATTCTTGCTCGGCAACCTGTTAGTACAAACTTGTGGCTTCCAGTCGTGTGGAAGATAGCGGGCATAACCGGCAAATGGTCCATGTTCGTCCCGGCATACTTTTTTTCGGCCTCTGAACTTTTCTTTATGTGATCTTCACGCTCGCTTTTGTGCAGCGTGTGGATCGTTCAAAGGCCTAACTGCCACCCTCATGCAGTACAGTGTCGGTGCTCTTCTACTTGCCAGGGAGTCCTCTGAGACTGTCCCGGGCCAACCAGCATCTGAAAAAAACGGATGTTTAAGTACCAAAGACACCGGGATGTGGCCGGAATTCCGGGACTGGACTTCTGACCGAGCACCTTCAGGCTGCACCAAAATCTACAAACATGGTCCTTCCGAGAACAGCTACAAAAGGCCCGCGTGAATCTTGCAGAAGCGCCAACTACGTAGGACTGTGGCTTTGAATTTGAAGCAGCGCGCATCTCATGCATGATTAGGCGTGAGAGTGGCTCGAGCGAGGGGGTGGGCAGCGGGGAATGGGGAAAGCATGAACCACCGCAAGGTCCTGTGCGAAATGCAATTGAAGATTGTGCATGCAGTATGCGCCAAGGCACCTTCTGCAAGCATTCATGCGAGCGCTTCGTGACTGCTTTCGGCTCGCACAGGGGATGTACACCAGATTGGCTCCATTATTCTCATAGCTTTGCAACACCACCACGCCAACTTCCACAAACATGTACCTGACAAGACGGCCTCTGCCCCTCATGTGCGGACCGGGGTTAGCACAAAGCCGAGACTGACCACACACTACGTCTGGCTTCTGCCCGAGACCCCTTCGAGTGGCAACTCGGAGGCACCGCCAGGGACCGCTAATCAAGCAAGGACTCCGACGAAGCCACAGAAGGAGTCTGGTCTCTGCAAGAAGCCCGAGGCCAGCCCAGCCACAGCAAAAGGGAGCGATCCCCGTCGGCTACCAGCTAAGAGCGCAAGGACAGAAAGGTTTAGGGCTAGGGGGGTTCGGGGTGCAAGAGTCGAGATGGTTCACGAAGTTCACACTATCTTCAATTGAGGTTACGTGTGACCTTCCAGTGCCTTCCATGCCTTTCTGCCCCGGCACGCCGCCTGCCTGGGGATGGTGGCTTTACTGACTGACCGTTGGTCCTCGAAGCTCGTGCTAGCCCAAGATAGTACGGAACACCCGTGTGAGGGAGATCTGGAGTCCAGGCACCCAACCTACAAGTCTACGAGCATATGAGTGAAAGAGTAACGCCGACAATCTCAGCGAAACTGCCAACTATGTGAAGTGCACAGTGCGAACATAAAAATTGTGGGGGCTCTGATCGGTGCGCGATCTGGACATGGGTGAGTCCGGCGCTGGTCAGCGTTGCAGCACTGGGAGTGCCTTGTGGCTGCGGTGCGCTTGCAGCTGAGCGCGCAGCTGAGACTGATTTAATGTAACAAGAGACAGCTGCCTTTCAGAAACATACTATGCAGCTGCTCACAGTACTTTGTGGAACTGCTCTGCAGAGTTGGACCCAACTATCCGATGGACAAGATTCCAAATACCGCCTGTGCCACCGCGCCTCAAGGCACTTTTTGGCTGCGTGAAGCCGCGCATGGAACCCAAACAAAAATTGGTCGCCGCTTTGGCAGTCGCGACAGGAAGCTGGAAATGAATACTCCGCACAAAACTCTACATGCACAGTAGGGTAGGCCGGCCATGAATGTGACGATCATGTGCCCATTCTGTCGAGGAGAAGGACTTTCCAGCTTCCTGCCCGGCGTGCCTCAAAACTCCTTGACCTGCGTCACAAGACTTGCTGTTGACTTTGGTGCGAAGGGGGGCAAGGAGAGAACCATCAGATTCAACTGCTCACGTTCTGAATTGCCAGATCTTGATGGGTCTCTCCTGCATTGCCTTGTGACCAACAGCAACAAGACTGGTGGTTCTTACGACTCATTCCATGGCGTGCTGACATACCGATGGAAGATGCACTTGAATTTAGCACTCTTGGCTGGCAGATGTCTGGATGCGGAATCTGATGCTCCAGGAACAGCGCTCGGCATAGTGTCGGGCAATAGTAAAACAGGCTCCATCCTGCAAAGCGCAGCCTCTGCCAATCCATCATTCGGCAGCACAAGTCAAAGATGAAAGCACATGGTGTGCATCCGGACATCTGGCGCAGGCCTGTCATCCAGTTGCGAAAACACAAAGCACATCCTGGCCATCTCAGCGGTGGACCACTGCCGGCTCTTACGACCATGCAGGGCCGAGACATCAGCGCAGGCTTCTCTGCAGAAAGCTGAGTACGTGGCTAAAAGGATGAGACAAGGCAGGAAAGCCCTAGAAACCTCCATTCTTCCAACACCCTCCCAAACCTCTGTTGTCGGCACAGCTATGGATAGTGGCAAGTGCGCAAGACACAGCACCATAGCATGAACATGCTGTTGACTCGCTGCGGGTTGTACTGGGATACTTTGTCGGTTGATCTCTGCAAAGGGCAGCTGTGCGCGAGTCTACTGAGACGGTACGACTGCCAGGGGGCAAACTCGATTGGTGACATGAGCCCACTGAGCGAATCATGTCTAAGGCGTTTAAGGGTACATGCGAAGCCCATAGTTGTGCATGTGCCCCGGTACCTGGCAGACGCAGCGCTACACCCAGCAGGCAGCCATGTGTGAAGCAACCCAAAACCTCTCAATTAGCGAGGACAGGCCCTGCTCGCCAAAGGTCTTAAGGGTCCATGGTGAATATCGCTTACAGGATCGTCAAGCCATCGGCCTTCGCCGCACAAGGATTTAAGATTGGCTTCTAAACACGGCTTGGTGCAATTCTGAGTGCTGACCCTGAAGACCTTTGACACAAAACTGCTCAGCAAAGGTATTCTCAGAAAGGCGGTGCACACTGCCACAACAGTCAAAAGACTAGCCAAATAATTACTGACCAGCATCTTGAGTCCGAGCGATATGCATGGCCTCAATCCCCCTGGTAAACGCCCTAAACCCTATAGACCCTAAACTCTAAAAAGCCCGAAAGGGTCCGAGCCGACTGTCAACAATGGAAGTTCAGGGCCCCTGTAGACTTGGGACAGGTGCTGGTTTGGGTCGAAAGGTGCCCGCAAGGGAACAGAATCTGGTTTAGGGCTTAGGGACCTGCCTGAGGCTGGAAACAAGGGGAGGGTTTCGCACGAGGGGATAGGATGGCGTGTGTGGAGGAAGGTTGCATGGGACTCCCACCATGTGCATTCTTCTTTCTGTGGCTTCGGTGGGCTTCTTCTCTTTTTTGGCATGAGAGATGTTGATAGCCCCCGCGAGCTGTTTGTGACTGGGATTCAGGGTGCTCGGCGAGGTCTTTCAAATTCCGCTTGGTTCTGGCAGTCTGGGCTGGCGGTATCCTCATGCACAAGCCAAGCACACAAGACGAGAACAGCAACAGTGAGAGATGTAGTCAGTGTAGTCGGACAAGCAGTTGAGAATTAAGAACTCACTGACCACAATGCAGCAATGTCCTCGACAAGGGAGCTGCAACTGCCTATAGACACACTCCCCTAAGGCACGGGGTGCAACCGCAAACTGAGATACCTCTGGTGGATGAAGGCGGCTTGATGAAGACGTGTGCTCAATACCTGGGCATGTGGCAGGAAGCTTTTGTGCAAATCTGCTTTGAAGCGGGGTAGCCCAAAACTTTAAGTCCCGATGTCGCCCCCAAGGTTGATCCCTCCCTGTAGCCACGGCACCGCCGCCAAGGGCGACGCTCTTCGGCAAAGTCGTTGAGATCTGGGACCTCCGTTTGGCGAACTTCCCGACTCAGCCATACTACGAGCACTTTCCATGCTTTGCTTAACTAATTAATTATTCTACTGTTGACAGCACGTCAGAGTGCTCTTGTCAAGCATGCTCTTGTCAAGCATGCAGACCATCTCCACACCTCCAAGCCCAGCTCTGCGCAGAGCTGCTCCAAGCGCTGCGCGCCCAACACGGACTTCCTCGGCGCCAGTGTCGCTGTTTAGCTCTGCTTCGTAAATCTCTCAAAGGCGCACAGTTTCACGGTTGCTCTATGGCTTTTCCCTGCTGCTTTGATTCGCCACACGCAGCGGCGGCTTTGTGATCACGAGCCTGAGACCGAGCAAGCTCGTTAAACATGCGCAAGTGCGACAAACTGGGGTCCTTCTGCCATGCCTACGTCTTTGCACGCGTGCGACTTCGTGCGGCCAAACAACCCCTGGTTGTGGTACTTGCGGAGCGCCTCCTGAAATGCGAGATCTACATTGCAATCACGAGCGCAAGAAATGCCAGCAGATTCATCTTACTTCGACTTCTCTGCAGCCACAGCAATGCAAACGCCCCACAGTGAGAGTCCTCCAAGCGCTCACGTTGACGTGGGCGTGCTCGTGCGTAAGCGGATAGTTGGACAGTAAGGCAGAACGGATCCATCGAAATGCCCCTGGCCTTGCAGGGGTTGCACTGGCATTGATGCAACCGGACTGGTGGCATGTTGCAGTGTCCGGCATCGACATAGTTACCGTCATATACCGTGTACTTGATAGCAGGGCGAACGAAAGCTAAGGCCGAGAAGTTGGCACGCTGCTGAGTATAGGATTTTTGCTTTGGCCTTATAATGGGTAGGAGTTTGGTCGCTGGGTCTACAGTTCTAAGCTGCAGGTCCTTAGGTGGGAAGCTGGGACCGCCACCCCGACCCCCCCACCCACCCACCCACCCCCACCCCCAAGCTGCTGCCGCCGCCACCCCGCGCCACCAGAAAAGACGCACGCAACGAAAGCGACACGAAGCCAAGCAATGCCTCCATTGCCCTGAAGAGGCGCTCGACGTCTCCGAAGGATCCGACCTTTGCGTGAGCCTGCAGCCGCAACACACTTGCAACGCACTAGACACATTCACTTAAAGCCACAAGGGACGTGAAGAGAACCTTCGATGCCTTCCTACACGCTACGATGCAAAGCATATATGGCGTATGTGGCGACCACCTACCTGAAGCATGCTGAATCTACCTTACAAGGTTTTCCAAGACTCTGCAAC